CATATTAATAGACTGAATCATGCAGTGAAAGAACGCACTCTAAATGCGCACGCGCACTAAAGCCTGCGTTGTCTAACCAGACTTCATCATGTAGTCTCTTATGCGTGCACTCTGTAGGTGTGTTTTGTTTGGTTCTTGCAATATATTCGATAATGTCATGATGTCTTACGAGTTCAGTATTTGCACTAAACCTGCGCAGATTTTTAATTAAGAAATTAATGAGTGAACATAACTTACGAAAAGTAACCTGCCAAACTGGCTAGTGATTTGACAGCGTTACCCGCCACAGCTGATTTTTACGGGTGTTAATTTCAAACCCTGGATATAACGATATAACGATAGATATAACGATATAATGATATAACGATAGATAGATAGATAGATAGATAGATAGATAGAGCGAAAGAACAATTCAGGGTGGAATAGCTCTTCATTTCCCAGAATGCATCACCTATGCTGAATTTCTTTAAATTAAAAATCAATCTCACACTCATGAAGTGAAAACAAGCTAATTTTTGTATAACCCTGATGCAAATGCTTCTAGCTACGCTAGACTACCTCAAGTAAAAAAAAAAGAGCATTGCTTAAAGCATTTAGATTGTTTTGGGTTAGTTCAAGTCACAAACCCCTGGTATGAGCAGCAGTAATAGCTAGCGATGGCCAGGCTAGCGTTCTCCGCTAATGAAGAGCTCACCGCATGATCACCACATAAGCTGCATTCAAACACCAGACAGTTTCTCTCACAAATGACTTTTGTTTTTTAGCTTATTCTTCCTCAGACATCCAAAGAATGAGACATCAAATCAGGTCACAAAAGATCTCTCTAAACGCCGGCGCATTTGGCCTGTCAGAGCTCAGATTTGGAGAGTCATAAGCCGAGAAAGCTCTTTTGTCTGGGGCGCTAAAAGCATTTCTGTTTTTTAGACACATCCCTCTATTTTCTGCGTCGGAGTGGGCAGCAGGCGGGGGATAAACACTGTTTATGACAGAGAAGCGTGAATTTGGCCTTGTGACAGAACGCTCTCGCCACAGGTTTTTTTGTCCATCTGAACCATTACGAAAGATATGGGCTATTTGCTCTGAAAGATGGCGAGATACGGCTCTAAATTTGATTTTTTTCCCTCATTCAACAGGAACGAAGCTTTTACTTTCTCCTGTGTGTATTGGTGTGCTCATGAATGGTGACAATAACCTAGTCAGCAGCTTTGTTCACTACTGTCTATAGGCAATGATTTCCACAAATATATTCAGCAGCACGACTGTTTTCAACATTTCTGGAGCAGCGAATCAGCATATTAGAATGATTTCTGAAGAATCACATGATACTGAAGACTGGAGTAATGATGCTGAAAATTCAGCTTTGAATCACAAAAATATATTACATTTTAAAATATATTACAAGAGAAAACAGTTATTTTAAATCGTAATAACATCTCACAATATTACTGTTTTTATTGTATTTTTAAGCAAATAAATGCAGCCTTTCTTCCTTTAATTTCACTATTCTTGCCTGCTATTGTGTGTGTATAAATGGTTATATATAGCTTAAATAATATGGTAAACAAGTTTACCATGTAGCTACTCATTTCAAGGTGAACTAAAAAGTACAGTTTACATATATTTAAAAAAAAGATTCCATAATGCTTTCATAATGAAATGAATTATCTTTTCTAATGATGTAACCAAAGTCACATAGGAGGGGAAACATATGGAAGCATGTTTTGCTATGGATTAACAACAACAACAACAACAAAAAACTTAAAACATAGTTGCAGCTTTTTATTTCACTTTAACATTTAAACTTTTTTATCAGAATTGCGAGATATAAACTCATAATTGCAAGTTATAGAGACATAATTGTAGGATATAAGCACGCAATTGAAAAAAGTTTACATCTTGTAATTCAGACTTTTTTTCTCGCAATGGCGTGTATATATCTTACAAGTTTGACTTTTTTGTGCAATTGCAAGCTTATATCCCGCAATTCTGACTTCTTTTCTTAGAACTGTGAGATATAAACTCGCAATTCTGAGGTGAAACTTCATATAACAATTCTGAAATTTTAACATTTTGAGACGTAAACTTGCAATTGCAAGAAAAAAAAAGTCAGAATTGTGATAATTTTTTTATTCAGTAGTGGAAGCAGGCTTCCATAGAAATACATCATTATAAATAATAAATAAATATCATGACCTACTTTTCAACATCCAATCCAATCCCAATGGATAGAATCAAGTCCCACCCTACATTACATTATTATCACAATATTCTGTTTCACACACAAGACACACTACAGATGCAAATGCACCATGCCATGACGTCAGTGAGACCGAGATCTCCGTCTTGTGTCAGCCCAGAAATGTCACATCACATAGAAAACATACCACGCTTATTCCAGTAAAGTGTCAGCTCCTCTCTGTTTGTGGTCATGCATTTTTACACATGCGGATACATGACACGTCCGTTTGCCTGCGACCTCCTGACAAACACACAGAAAAGCTTCAAAAACAGAGAGAGAGGGAACGCTGGCAAAAGGCTCTTTACTATTTTATTGATTGTGCGTTCAAGCCCGTCTCACTGCAGTTTGTATATTTAAGAAAAGCAGGCTGAGCGCGGGACCCCTGGCCCCCCGTCACAGCGGCGGATCGAATGACTATTTCATTTACAGTCTTATGCTAATGCACTTGGCAGGAGAAGGACGAGGTCTGTGCGCACATCTGCACTCAATAACCCACTCACTTTAACCAGAATTAATACCCACAACAGACAGAGAGGCTAACAGCAGAGAGAAACTCTGAAGAGAGCGACACACTGAACGCCTTCAGAAACAGTCACAACGCAAAAAAAATAAATAAATCAATATTATGTTGTTTTACAGTAAAACTCTCCTTGAAACAACATACACTACCTTTCAAATAATATTTTTTTTTTAAAGATCTTTTTCTTTCAGCAAGGATGCATTAAATTGATCAAACGTGACAGTAAAGACATTTGTTGCAAAATATTTCTATTTGAAATAAATGCTGTTCTTTTGAACTTTCTATTCATCAAGGAATCCTGAAAAATTAAATGTTGCATGTTTTGCACAAAATATGAAGCAGCACAGTTGTTTTCAACAGTAATAATATGAGAAATGTTTCCTGAAGAGAAAATCAGCATATTAGAATGATTTCTGTAGGATCATGTGACTCTGAAGACTGGAGTAATGATGCTGAAAATTTGGCATTGCATCAAAGGAATAAATTACATTGTGCAATATATTACAATAGAAAATTGCTCTTTAAAATGGTAATAATAATTCACAATATTACTGTTTTTATTGTATTTTTGATCAAATAAATGCAGCCTTGGTGAGCAGATGAGAATTTATTCAAAAACATTAAAATATCGTACTGACCCTAAACGTCCAAATGCTATTGAACATTTATTTGAGAAGTAAATTAGTCTAAGATATTAAGACTTATTTTAAGAGAATATATTTTGAATTAGAATTTTTTTATGTACTGTATATTTCTTAGCAATATATTAGTAATTTTTAAGCACTTTTTTGCTTTGTTTTAAGCACTTAATGTTTGATTTTCTGCAGTGCAGATGGAACAGAAAAACATACAGAATGGATCTCAAGACACGTTTTTAATGCTAATGTTTGATGCCAGCTAAATATTACAAATATGATATACAAATATTACAGTTGCTTCCATAAGAATTAATATGCTCAATATGCAACTCCTGCTTCCTATAATTGGACTTTAATTGTAAAATTATTTATTACAAAGCACAGCGAATCAAACTATTTACAACTTGATACAGCATCTTGCATGGTGCGAGACACTGAAAATAAACAAGCACAGTAACTCATAAATAAATAAGATTCAACGCCAACACAACACAAAACAAAGACATCCATCTGACATTGTACATTTGTTTACAATAAAACCTCTGACTATAAAGTGCATATGCTTACAGTATGTGTTTAAATTCAAATTCAACCCCTATACTTTCTTATATCCTCTCCTGCTCCCATGTCAATAAAAAGCACCAAAACCTTAACCATTAAATGAATCAAATCGATTAAAAGGCACAGACCCCGAAATGTAGACCCCCGAACAGAGTGAAAACAGCAGTCAAAGCTAATATCACCAGCACACAACGGCCGGATCAGAGAGTGAGCGAGAAAATAAATGAGTGTGGAGCAATAGAGTGAGGTAGAAATGAAATCTCTTTACCTCCTCGACTCTCGCTGTCAGCTGGCTTCACCTGAATAGGCCGTGTCATCTGCGGGAGAGAAAGAGAGAGAGGGAGAGAGAGAGAAAGGTTAATGTGGAGGTGTAAGACAGAGACAGCCAGAGGAGCAGGTTAGGAGCACGTCGTCTTGCTCCCGGATTCACAGCTGTCAGAGCCACTGAAGCTCAGAGACGTCAACTCCCAGAAGCCCACGGGAAACTGCGTACACACACGCGCTTACATGACTCATTTCAACATCAGGCTCGTATCGTGACTTCAGTACAACTGCCGTGGTTTGAGTTAGACTGAGGGGTTGTACAAAATCAGAGGAGACGAGAACTACAGGAAAGAAGAATCACAAATGAGATCTAAATGAAATTGCATCTCTTAGACATTAACGAGATTAAATAGAGATCCAGTTGAGATGTCAACAGTATCTCAAACTGCACTATGAGTTGCATTAAGTCAGCGGCAAAGTCAGAGATATCAATATGAACGTACACATTTCTCTTCAAATCATCTGAGCTTCTACTCACTTTTATTTCAAAACTAGAGTAATTTTTAGAGCTGCACAATTTTAGGAAAAACAAAATCTAATTGCAATTTAATA